GCTTATTTTTAGGAGAGTTCGTTGCGAGGCAGCATATATTTTGATATTTCAAAATATTACTGTATATTGGTATGTTATACTTAATGCTTTCGGAAGGGTTATAGGGGTCGGGTGTGATATACTTTTTCAGGTATTTTGTGTCTGATGTATGTAAGAGCTTTATTATTGGGTTTCTTGGTGAGACCTTATATCTTATGTGTCCTATAACCCTCTGTAATTGCGGATTATTGCATACATTCTAATTGTATTTTTTTGTAGGAGTCCAAAGATGCAAATGATACAATTTCAAACTTATCACAACCCATATTGTGGCCGCTGGCAGCGAACTAGAATATGACTAGAAACTGTCAATCATACGTTATCGAGGGAAAGGATGAAAGTTCCATAACAAGCAACAGTTGTTTTGATGCAATTATCGCCTTATTGGCAAGTTTTTACATCTTCAATATTGAGTACTGCCACACGAAGAGCATCTTGTCTGCCTTGCAGACTATAGTAGTGCATGGGCAACACAGAAAATGGCATACAACTGCCAATAGTGAGTTTAAGCAAGTGACATTTTTGACAACACGGACGTCGACCGGAGGTAAAGTTGACGTTTTTCACCAATCACAGTCCTTGATCCAGTCTTCTGACGTTGCTCATGCCGTCAGTGTTGTCAAAAACGTCACTTGCTTAAGCTCACTAATGAGGGTCACAGCCCTCTTCAATGACTTGTCATGACTCATGAATATTAGTACTACAGTAATTTTACACTTTTTGAGAGTTATGTTGACATATGCTAACCCAAGTTAATGTTATTGATGGAATGTGTGTATTGTCCCACATCTCACCGAACTGTGGTAATGTATTAGAAATTATTCGTATTGCGTCCACGTTAACAACCGCGCCTGCTATTGCTATCACAAGTTGATTGCTCTTTAAAATTAGAATTGTAAACTTTCGGAGCCATATGGCATATATGTACGAATCTTTTGATGGTTCCCACATTTCGGTGAGATCCATAATACTGACTACTGTGCATGTATATTGTAATTTTAGTTATAGTATTGTGTTTATAATACAGAAATTGGAACATTATTTATCTCAACTTATATTACAATAATTAATTCCAATCTTGGTCTGTTGGAGAAATTGTAATAAGACCAAATAAACCCCATTATTTTTGCCTGATTCATTATATACATGTAGAATACGTCTACATGCAAGAGTGCAACCAAATCATGCACATGACTTTAAATGCTATATAAAACGGCACCACCAAAAAGCTATATCAGCTCAATCGGTTCTAAAGCACCTCTTCATTGGGCTGAGACAGCTCTCCTCTGAAAGGGCCAGAACAGCTCAGGTTAACAAAGTAGGGGTTAAATTGGCTTTTCTTTAGGATCTATAATGGCTCTGAAATTGGACCAAATTGACCCTTTGGGTACTACAAACTACACCATGAAAAAAGCTATATTAGCTCCTTCGGCTCTAAAGGAGCTCCTCTTTGGGGCTGAAACTGTGCTCTTCTGGGAGGGCCAAAATAGCTCTGGTTAAAAAAGTAGGGGTTAAATTGGCCTTTCTTGTGGTCTATAATGGCTCAGAAATAGAACCATATTGGCCCTTTGGGTGCTAAAAAACTGCACCATTGGAGAAGCTATATCGGCTCCTTCGGTTCTAAAGCAGCTCTTCATTGGGGCTGAAACTACTCTGTAACTCAGTAGCCAAAACAGCTCCGCTTAGCGAGCCAAATCAACGCTTTTTGGGGTTCATTATGACCACAAATTGTAGCCAAATTAACTCCTTGAAATGCCAAAATAGCCCCCTAATTTTCTGAATTGGCCCCTATTGAAAGTTGAAATAGCCCCTGCTTTTGGCAAAACAGCTCCTACTATAAAAGCTGAAACAGCCCTTACACTGGAAGGGCCAAATCACCCCTTAGGGGCCGCATTGTTATAGGTGCCATTTTGACCCCCAAAAAAGATCTATTTTGCGGTCACCGTTTTGGCCCCATTTTTGGGGTCGTTTCAGCCCTTTTTAATTTACAGTGTTGACTCAGCTCTTTACGAAACTTCCAAATTCCTCACAAAAATCCTTTCTCCACTTCAAAACAAAAACGGCTTCTCAGTAGCTAACTCTACTCAATTCAAACACGAAATTTCCAACATTACTATAGACGAAGACGAATCTATGATCTCATTTGACGTGGTTTCACTCTTTACAGCCATTCCTGTTGACAAAGCATGCACATATATTAGAACGAAATTAGAAAATGACCCGACACTTCCTGACAGAACTCAACTCGACATTGACGACATCATTCGACTTTTACATTTTGTTTTATCTAATAGTTTTTTCGTTTATAACAACACCACCTACAAACAAATCCATGGATGTGCCATGGGCAGCCCTGTTAGCGCGATTGTTGCTAACTTGTGCATGGAAGTGATAGAAGAACAGGCCATCCGAGACGCAACTTCACCACCTAAAGTTTGGAAACGTTTTGTGGACGATTGTTTTTCCATAATAAAAAAGACTAACATATCATCTTTTCATGACACACTAAACTCCATTGACCCACACATTAACTTCACTATTGAAAACGAAAAGGACGGAAAGATCGCTTTCCTTGACACATTAATTTCTAGAAGAGACGGCTTAATTTCTATTGACGTTTACCGCAAACCCACTCACACAGACCGTTACCTAAACTACTTATCACACCACGACCAAAAAAATAAAATTAGTACTGCAACAACACTTATCAACCGATCCTTGTCAATTCCTACCACTGATGAAAGCAAAGAAAGAGAACTGAATCATGTAACCACAGTTCTGACATCAAATGGCTATCCAAAGAAACTAATTTCGGTATTGATCAAAAAACGTAAGAACAAAACTGTAGTAAGCCCTGAAGAGTTAGTCCGATCATTTTTCGAATTAGTCGAAGGAAAGACGCCACCTGCAAGAATCGCGGTTCTACCTTACATCAAAGGACTAACTGAACCCCTAGCCAGAACACTGCAAAAACATGACATCAGAGTTTACAATAAGCCCGTGAAAACCTTCGAACGCCAGTTCCCATCTGCAAAACAGAAACCACCAATTGAAGAGCAAAAGAACGTGGTCTACCAAATACCATGTCAAGATTGTAGTTGGAGCTACATAGGCGAAACAGGAAGATCCCTGAAGACGAGAAAGTCTGAACATGTAAGGAATGTAAAACACAGCAAGAAGGGATCGAATGTTGCAAAACACGCATGGACTCAAGACCATATAATTGACTTTGCCAATGCTAAAGTGATAGACAAGGGAAATCATAGAAACCTTAAAACCTTAGGCCTGTTTCATACGTCGAATTTAATTCAGACGAATTTAATTCGTTATTAAATTCGTCAATTGGTCGACACTAAAATGGTTTCGTTTCAAACGACGAATTTAATTCAGACGAATTCATTTCATGTTTAGCGATCATGGATTACCCAGAAGTAAAAAACCACGAGACCAGAAAGAGAGAAACAGACTTTAACATAATTTATGCATTTAATTCGACACGACGATAACACGTCGTATGAAACGAAGACGCGCTACAGACGTTGTATCCGTCTGACCATGCCTGACCATATCCGTCTAACTCTAATACGCTTCCAGCACAGTACACAATACTTTTAAGAAAGGAACTCAAGAAACATTAATTAGTTAAATATTCATATTACCCATTTGTAACATAGCATAGATAGTCTCAGATTTCATACCACCTACTCAATTTTTGCGTCCTTTATAGAATCATTTGTATACACCCGTCGAAGGCTATAGACTGATAGCCGAAAGCTCGTAGAAATAAATATTAAGTCAGAGAACGCTCTATAAATAAGTTTGTAAATTATTAGTAAATAGTTTGTAAACGACATTGTAAATAGTTTGTAAATTGTTAGCAACTAGTTGTAAATAGTTTGTAAATGAAATTGTAAATAATTTGTAAATTATTATGTATACTAAATCAATCACTTGAGCAACCATTTTTTATCTAAACATATTTATTTTCCAAAATCTCTTATATACAATACATTTTTACTGTAAGTTAAAACAATGAAGTGAATTAGAAAGTACAAATTTAAACCATAATTATTTCTAGGGACCGTTCATTATTAATACAGGGGGGGGGGTATAAAATGTGTGCGGAGCGTAGACATTTCTGAGCAAATATTTTAGGGGAGATGTAAATTTTTTTAATGATGGAGAGGGGCTTGCATATATTTTTCTCAATTATAGCACAGTTGGGTTGGTCCGAAGATGGACAGGGTTCCTCGACCAGAACAAGATTATAACAGTCTTCCCTGTTGCCACTACAAACGAGTGTTTGATAGCTCTAACAAGCAACCCAGTGGAGAAACAAGATATCTGGATGATTTCCAGCCAAGAAAAAACTTGAAAGTGGAGTTGGCCAATGATCGTATATCTGCAACCGACCAGGAATGCATTACAATAAATTCATTGTAAAGGAAAACTTGGTGCATGAATACCTGGAGCACTTGCAGAATATGCAAAGGATAAAGGGAAATAAAACAGAACAAGAGGCAAACGGAAAAACCCCAGAACAAGACAGAAGACATATGACTACTGTATGAATGGGGGAAACAAGTAGAACCTAAAGAAATCGGTAAGCTACTATATGTGGCAGAACTTGATAAGTATCTCAATTATCACAAGTTGAACAGGAAAGGAAAGAAGCCGGATAAGGTATTCAAAACCATAGCGTTAAATATCAATACTGTCCATTGCAACTCGATGCAATTTAGCCACTTCCTCTCTGTGTAAGTTATTATGATTTATGTATGAAGAGGAACAGGAGTATTCAGAGCGTGGAAATACCATGTACTGTAGACAGTGATGACGACGAGAGTGAATTAGAGGAACTGGATACTGTGGAGAGTGTGCGTGAAACTGAAATGTCTGATAACATATTGATATTAAATTTGTGGTAAAGACAACAAAGAGGAGGGATGTAAATTTTTCAAACTGTAGTCTAGGCAAATAAGAAAATCAAAACATGACAGGCCAAACATCCATATTGACCGGCAAATAATGCACATGTCATGATGACGAGTCGGAGTGTACCGTTCAGATGTATTTCGAGGCCTGGGCAAAGGGGGATGTATACTTTACTATTGCTTTTATCAAATCCGTAACAGCCCCCCCCCCCTTCCTGTATTAATAATGAAAGGTACCTTTAAACCTATAGTCTTTATTACATATTTTGATTCAATTGAATCATTTCAACATAGTTTATATCAGTCACAATCCAAATTAAAGTTCATGTTACCAGTACAGGTGATTTGAAACCAATAGAATCTTTGCTGAATGGCACTTAACACACTCAAATAAGAACTCGTCACTATGTTGTAGCCACAAATGATTTGCTGTTAGCAACTGCATGTCCTTCGTTAAATTAAACATTAATGGCCGACACGTTGCATTAGAGAATATTATGAAGAGTGCACTGGTACGTTTTATGGGTCCACGAGGCCAATGAGGATGTATCATACAACTTATAGAACAAACCCAATCTAATCTTTTGTTGGTGATTATTTCACGGTCATACACTCATACGTACTATTAATCTTAATTAATCATTGAAACTATCCATACTGTAAAACAGTTTCCACTAGCTGCCAAAAGATTCTAGGTCTTGACAATCTGCTGATTAAAAAGACTCGAAGTTTTGACAACATAAATTTCCACTATTCACAGTATACTATTAAGCTTAATAATCATTTAAATGTTTAATTATACTATCCATACTGTTAAACAGTTTCCACTGCCTGCCGAAAGACTCTAGATCTTGACAACCTGCTGACTAAAGACTCGGAGTCTTGACAACATAAATTTCCACTATTCACAGTATACTATTAAGCTTAATTAATTTATCATTTTATTAAGTGTTTAACTATACTATCCATACTGTAAAACAGTTTCCACTGGCTGCCGGTCTTGACAACCTGCTGACTATTAAAAGACCTGTTAGTCTTGACAACATAAGTTTCCACTATTCACAGCATACTATTAAGCTTAATTTATCATTTAATTAAATGTTCAATTATACTATCCATACTGTAAAACAGTTTCTACTGGCTGCCGAAAGACTCTAGATCTTGACAACCTGCTGACTAAAGACTCGATGTCTTGACAACATAAGTTTCCACTATTCACAGTATATTATTAAGCTTAATTAATTAATTTATCATTTAAATGTTTAATTATACTATCCATACTGTGAAACAGTTTCCACTGGCTGCCGAAAGATTCTAGGTCTTGACAACCTGCTGACTAAAGACTCAAAGTCTTGACAACATAAGTTTCCACTATTCACAGCATACTATTAAGCTTAATTTATGAATTAACTAAATGTTTAATTATACCATCCATACTGTAAAACAGTTTCCACTGGCTGCCGAAAGACTCTAGATCTTGACAACCTGCAGACTAAAGACTCGGAGTCTTGACAACATAAATTTCCACTATTCACAGTATACTATTAAGCTTAATTAATCATTTAAATGTTTAATTATACTATCCATACTGTAAAACAGTTTCCACTGGCTGCCGAAAGACTCTAGTCTTGACAACCTGCTGACTAAAGACTCGAAGTCTTGACAACATAAGATTCCACTATTCACAGCATACTATTAAGCTTAATTTATCATTTAATTAAATGTTTATACTATGCATACTGCAAAACAGTTTCCACTGGCTGCCGAAAGACTCTAGATCTTGACAACCTGCTGACTAAAGACTCAAAGTCTTGACAACATAAGTTTTCACTATTCACAGTATACTATTAAGCTTAATTAATCATTTAAATTTTAAAGGTAGGTTACAGTCGCATCTGCGCATGCGCTGGACTTTGTTTACGTTTTTTGTTTTGATCCACATTAATTATATAAGATGAAGTATATGACGAGTTCAAAGTAACATTCCACATAATTTGTGACCGAGGAGTGCAATGTTTTACAATACTTCGCTGCATTTATTGCACATTTCTACACTGGAAATTTTTGTACACAATAACACAATCTTATACTGTAACTCTTTAACTGTAATCATTGTGAATAAACAGGCCGCTTTGAACCTTGTGTGACTTGCTATATACAACAGCTGGGGGGGGGGGCGAACCGAAATCCCGAAGGTGTGAGTTCAAATAATTTATGTTTAGTGTTTACCTTTGGAGTTTGTGTCTAATCACGAAAATAGTTCATGTGGTATCAATCCCTCGAAACATGTTGCCAGAGTTGTTGTTGTCATTATGACAGAAGCACTTGGGGAAAGCTTTTCGCTTGACGAAATTCGAAACAAGTGTGATTGAGAATGTGGCTGCAGTTCCTGTCTTCGTGGCAAAGCCAAGGGCGAAATTTTTAACCGTGCAAAAGCTGGATACACAGCTTTTGTTCAAGCTCGTGCGCGCTATGGAGATAATTTTGGATGCTGTTTTAATATAAACAACAGAAGAGTTCAATAGATTGACAGTGACGAGAGTACGAGACGCTAAGATTATATTCAACTTTTTTGTGTTATAAAAATGTATGTTTTGAAATTATGAACTGGAAGTATGAATTCATTGATATTACTCTCATATTGACACCAAATGATGATATTCTTGTGACACTGAATGATCTAATATTAGCTTCAACAATTCTGGTGATCAGGTTACTTCATCATGTCTCTTCAAGACGGAGGACAATTGCTAAATATATGCTTGTTTCGCTCTATATCAGAGCTCATCAGAATGCCCAGGAAACACTGATGAAATTTTGATTTACATCAACGATGAAATTTTGATTTACAATATTTTTTTTTTTAACAGATTTATTGGGTTATATGGTAATATATATATATACAGACATTAAAGGAGAATTCCAAGGGGTAAAGCACAAACATGACTCCAGGGCTTTATTTATAGCCTTTATATGCACCCTGAGAATACTGAAAATACCTACTAAATATAATTACAGTTTGTAACATGAACAATCAGATAAGCACCATTTACAACAGGGTCTGAAATTTATATTTTTTCTCAGTATCCAAAGGGGATACCAGGATTCAAGGTTTAGTATATCCTATCCCATCCAAATAAGTTTCCATAACACTCACTGTTACAAATTACAATAACAACTGAGGAGACTCCAGTACAGTCAACAACAAATAAACAATTAATCCACATAATCCTTCAACAAACTTCTATATGCTAGTCCTCATTGAGGAAAGACTGGTGGTAAACTGATAATATTTAAAAACTTTCAGGAGCCCATCAAAGGAAATTTTTTAGTATCCAGTCAGGATAGTATTATATTCATAATTTGGTATCCAAAACCAAATTTTTGGTATCCTGTGGATATTGAGATACTAAAATATATTTCAGACCCTGTACATAAGAACCTGTTTAGGCTAACTTGGAAAAAATCTAGGTTCTTATTCGCAGGGTTTTACTGTGTTGTCTAATTTTGTCCCAAAACAGACCATGCATGGCAGCCTGTTCTGGCAACATAGATAATGGGATGGTGCCACTCTTTGTGACACAAAATCAGGCAATTATAGTACAATATGAACTGGCAAGTGTCTGCAGTTATCGTTCACTAAATTTACATCGTCGATCGTGCTTTGTACAGAATAACCCGTGTTTTGCTGAACTGTTTGCTCAACAAGATGATAGCATTACTATTGCAAATAGTAATGAAAGCATGACCGAAGTTCTGTTTCCGACCGATAAGTTTAAAGTGTTATCAGGAGTAAAACTTCCTCGATCGGATCTTAGTTGGAAAGCAGCTAACGATTTTTTTCAGTGGCAATTCAGTGTTAGACCAGAGCTGGGAGACTTGGATTCGGAAATTGTATTCATGAATAACATTATCTGGTCTTACTTTAAAGATACATGCGGTTTGGTAAAGTCGGCTAATAAATTTGATCACTATAGAAGTATGTCAAAATCAAAGTTAAAAAAATTCTTAAAAGATTTAAAATCGAACGGAGGCAGCTTGGAGGAAACAAAATTTGTCAGTAAGTTATTGCGAAAAAGAATGCAGTCAAGAGTTAATGACCAGCGGGATTATGAAAATGAATTAAATGAGAACTTTTGGAAGTTTTGTAAAAATGAATTTGAAAACACCGAAGAGCTAGAACCAAACTTGAGCGAACAGTCGTGTTTCGACTATTTTAAGAACTTATTTAAAGAGAAAAATAAAAGTCGTTTGTTTAAATGGCCGTCCTGGTTGAGTTCATTTCCATCCGCAAGTAAAGATTTCGACTTAGAATGTCCTACGTATCGTGAGAACTCTAAAATAATCAGAAAAATGAAAAGTCGTGGCTCTGCGTGCCCTTTCGACCAAATAAGCATTATTTCGTTTCAACGTTGTCCAATTTTAAGAACGCATTTATGGAGAATTATCTGTAAATGCTGGAACGAAAAAAATATTCCATCTGTCTGGAAGCACGCGGCGGCGATATTGATCCATAAAAAAGATTCAACTGAGGATCCTGCTAATTTCCGTCCTATCTGTCTAGAGCCTGTGTTGCTAAAAGTCATAACATCATTGCTAAGGAATAGAATCTTTAAGTTTGTTTGCGAAAACGAATTTATTGAGTCAGGAATCCAGAAAGGTTTTTGGCCTGGAATTTCGGGGACTATTGAACATACGGAATTATTATTACATCTTATTAACCATGCCAGAAATAAGCAAAGATCTCTTGTAGTTACTTTAATTGATCTGAAAAATGCCTTTGGTGAGGTACATCATAAACTTATACGAACTATCTTGATAGCTCATCACATTCCTGAAGAAATTATATGCTTTGTTGAGAATCTCTACTCTGATTTCAGTATCTCAATTATTACGAAAGGGTTCATTACGAAATCAATTCCAGTGCAACGAGGCGTGTTATAAGGTGATTGTTTATCACCCTTGTTATTTAATAATGTGTAAATTTTTTGATTCACACAATAAACGACGCGAAGTTAAAATGTCACGGCTATGTAAATAACGCAACGATGTACCCCAGGCTTTGTAATGTATTTAATAAATGGTCAGCGTGGGCGGATTTGCATATTCGTGTTGAGAAATGTCATACTTTTGGAATCAAGAAGCAATCCTCAAAAGCAATTCAATACCAACCAGTTATTATCATCTTGGGCAAGCGTGTACCGCCGATTGAATGCGAAGAGGGGTTTAACTATCTTGGAAAGCAATTTAACTTTAATATGGAATGCGAACAGATCAAAGTAGAGATACTAAGTGAAATCGACGAATATCTGCAGAAAATAGATCTTTTCCCCATGAATCCTTTTTCGAAAATCAGGATCATTCAGAATTATGTTTACTCAAAGCTCCGTTGGCGATTTTCTATATACCCCTTTACTGAGACCTGGATAAAGCAAAATATTCAGCCAGCTATTTCCAAGTATATTCGAAAATGGTTACAGATCTCGATTAGTGGCAATATCTATCATCTAAAACTGCCAAAATCATATCTAGGGATTGACTTTTGCTCTGCTTCAGATATATATTTACAGTGTAAATTTTCGGTTAGGCGCATATTGAAAACATCTAGGAACAGTGATATTCAACATCTGTGTTCTGTAACATCTTCCAAAAATATTAATACGGATGAAATAATTGAGAAAGTATCATCAAATGTAACAAATGTATACGAACTGAAAACCGGAACGAATAAGTTATTGAAACAGCAAAGTACAAATGATATTTGGGCAAATTTTATTACGCTAAAGGAACAAAGTATTATTATAAACTATCTAACTGAAGCGTGCAACAAGAAAATACTGCACTTTTGGCAAGAAATGGTTAGCAGACTACCCCGTAATATAACTTGTTTTGCAAGACGGGCTCTAGTGCTTAACTTGAGCAACAATTCTAACCTCAAGCGGTGGAACATTCGAGATTCTCCAAATTGTGACCTTTGCAACAAAATTCAAACACAGCTTCATGTTCTTTCATATTGCCCTGTAGCGTTACAACAACATCGGTATACGTGGAGGCGTGATTCTATATTAAACACCATTCTTCATCACTTAAGGAGAGTGATGTCGGAAGACCTGGAGATTTTTGCCGATTGTCCAGACTCTGGCTTGAAATGTACGTCCAATCTGTTTCAAGCGTTAAGGCCAGATATTACGATTCGTTATAAAAGAGACTTGTATGTGATTGAATTGACTGTCCCATATGAAACGAACTGCATGATTGCAAGACGACGTAAACAAGAAAAATATCGGGTATTGCGATCACAGTTACTCGTACCGTGTGATAGATTTAAAGTTATAACTTTGGAAGTCACTACTCTAGGCTTTGTCACGAAGAGTATAGGCCAATTTCGTAGGCTATGTAGGTTGTTAAATTTGCAAGACGATCGCATCATAACAAAATGTATGGAGGTTGCACTTCGTGCCACTTTCTACATATTTTGTAAGAGAAATAAGAACTGGTCTTGCCCTGAAAAGCTCAACTTCTATTAGCTACTAATGTGTGACAGTGTAGATAACGGACCTGCTTTATTCAGAGAACTGTTGTCTTATTTATTAAGTGTAGTTAGGTAAAATTTGGTCTGGACTCATAATTGTATGACTATATGGGTCAGGCTATGTAATTGATTGGTAAAGGTTTAAAAAATATATTATTATTAACCAGTCAAGGATCCTTTTTCTGCAGCGCCACGAAGTTCGCTTTACCTCAGCTTAACAAGGTGTTGATTCCAGTTCGCTGATGACGTAGCCGTAATCACTGGCCAAGAATCTGAAAACCAGCATCTCTTAAATCGTTTTTCCATCTGGTGCCAATGGTCCAATATGATTATCAGAGTCGATAAATGTAGTACCTTTGGCATCAAGAAAGCCATCACAAAATCAGTCCAATATTTGCCGAAACTCCTCGTCAACAATAATCTGATACCAACAATAAAGATTAGAGAAGCATTTCAATATTTCGGACGTTACTTTGATTTTAACATGTCGAATAATGACCATAAGACTGAACTAACCACTCTCGTTAATGAACTAATGACTGATATTGACTCGAAGCCACTCCCCCCAAGAAATAAGCTTCTCGTGTACAGTCGTTATGTCTTATCCAAATTATCCTGGAATTTCACCATCCCAACGCTTTCTAAAACATGGGTTATTGAAAATATTGATCACGTAGTCAACCAATACATCCGTATATGGCTTGAAATTCCAATCTCAGGAACACTAAGTACTGTTTTCCTAACTTGTAACAAATTTGGTCAAAGTATTTATCCTCCATCGGTGAAATTTATCCAATGCCAAACAGTTCTTCGAAAAGCTTTAAAACTTTCTCCTAATCAATCAATTAACGAACTGTGGAATTCTACTAATACTCATACTAATATCCAATACGACTTTTATAACTCAACCAAAGAAGTGCTTAAAGATTTTCGCTCTGAACATGAAGATAAACTCAAAAACCAATTAACTTGTCAGGGATCCTTTTTCTCTAATGTAACAAAGTTCTCCTTGTCGCATCTTAACAAAGTGTGGTCTACTGCTCAATCAAAACTTCCGAAAAACATTTATAACTTTACTATACGCTATATCAATAACTCTCTTCCGACACGTAAGAACCTTAGCAGATGGGGATTGTCTTCAAGTTCAGAATGCTCCTTTTGTCTCGGCCCAGAATAATTATTGCACGTGGTCGCTGGATGTCAGTGTTATCTCGATCGATTTACGTGGAGGCACAATTCAATCCTGAACTTTCTTGCCAATACCTTGCAAACTGTGAACGGTTCTGCCCTGTACGCTGATGTGCCTGGATTCAAAAGTCCGTCAATAATAACTGGTGATACGTATCGCCCAGATTTGTTGCTATCATTATCAAATGACTCTCTCTATGTGGTCGAGCTCACTGTTGGCTATGAGACAAACCTCGAGAACAATGTTAAACGGAAAAATATAGAGAACTAGTAAGACAGCTAGATGAAAATATTGACCAAGTAAACTTTGTTAATCTTTCCATGAGCTGCCTAGGTATTTTTGCGCAAGAATGCTCTACATTCTTAGAAATGTTAGGAAATGTTGGTCTCGACAAAAACTACCAAACGCACTGTGTTAGGAAAATGATGACTATTGCCATTCGAAGTACTTATTACATTTTCTGCTGTCGAAATAAGGCATGGGAAAGTCCGGACTTGTTAACTATTTGAAATATTTGATTGTCTTGTATATTTATATATTTTCAAGATAACTTACAATTGGCTATTTGAATCACAACTATGAACTAGTAATAATGAGAAAACTGAATAGTTTTGTCATTATTACTAGTTCATAGTTGTGATTCAAATAGCCAATTGTAAGTTACCTTAATTAGTAAGATTTACAATTATTGTATATATACATAGTATATAACAAAATTATTAAATAAAGTTTCCATTATTATTATTATTATTATTATTATTATTATTACAGTTTCTAGCGTATCGAAAACGTGGGTCACCGAAAACATTGATTCCAAAGTCAACAGTTATATCCGTAAATGGCTTGATATACCTATATCTGGAACGCTAAGCACTGTTTTCCTAACCCGCAACAAGTTTGGCCTCAGTATTTGTCCCCCATCTGTCAAATTTATTGAATGTCAAACTGTTCTCCGTAAAGCCCTTAAAACATCCCCAAACGAAGCAATTAACGATCTTTGGAAAGCAACTAGCAACAGCAAAAATATTCAGTATGACGTTTATAACTCCACTAAGCAAGTTCTTAAGGACTTTCGCTCTGGACAAGAGGATAAACTGCATACTCAATTAACCTGTCAAGCCTCTTTCTTCACTAATATAACAAAGTTCTCACTGTCTCAACTCACTAAAATTTGGTCTGCGTGCCAATCGAACCTTCCGAAAAACATATTCAACTTTACAGTTCGATACATCAATAACTCCCTTCCAACGCGCCAAAACCTTGCAAGATGGGGTTTATCACCGACTTCAGACTGTTCGCGATGTCTAGCTCCTGAGACACTTTTGCACGTAGTATCTCGTTGCCAATCGTATCTAGAACGATTCACGTGGAGACATGACTCCGTTCTAAACTTTCTCGCAACAAGCCTGCAGACCGTAAGCGGCTCACATCTTTACGTGGATCTCCCAGGGTACAAAAGTCCATCAATCATCACTGGTGACACCTACCGTCCAGATTTGCTTCTTTCAACCTCAACCGGAACACTCTATATTGTTGAACTTACAGTTGGCTTCGAATCAAATCATCAAAAAAACGTTGAGCGTAAAAAATCAAAATATAAAGAATTAATTAGGGAACAAAATGAACATTTCAACTCAGTAAAATTTGTAAATCTTTCGATTAGTTCTCTTGGTGTTTTCAGTAAAGAATGTTCTACTTTCATAGAAATGCTTAATGATTGTGGTTTTCAAAAGCAACATCAGAATTACTGTATTAGAAGAATGACGACGATTGCAATCAGAACAACGTATTATATATTTTGTTGTCGAAACAAGGAATGGATGAATCCGGAACTGTTAAGTGTTTAAACGTTGTACTGTGATTTTGTTATCTTAATAGTATAATTTTTGCATATATAATCAGTGATTTAAGTAGCCAGTTGTAAATTACCTGATATAAGTGAGATTTGCAATTGTATATATAAGCTAAATATCCATTTAATAAAGTTTTCATTATTATTATTATTATTATTATTATTATAATGTACTGCGTTAGGAAAATGATGACTATTGCTATTAGAACTACATATTACATTTTTTGTTGCCGAAATAAGGAATGGGAAAATCCGGATTTACTAACAATTTGACTTATCTCATTGTATATATATATATATATTGCATGCACTTTGTTCTGTTATTTTAGTTTAGTATAATTGTGATTCAAATAGCCAACCGTAAGTTACCTTTATGAGAGAGATTTACGATTGTATATGTATGTAAAGAAAAACATTTAATAAAGTTTCCATTATTATTATTATTACTATTATTATTATTATTATTATTATTATTATTATTATTATTATTATTATTATTATTATTATTATTATTATTATTATTATTATTATTATTATTATTATTATTATTATTATTATTATTATTATTATTATTATTATTATTATTATTATAAAACTTCCGATTTAAAAAATTTTAAACTTCCGATTTTCTTTCTTCTGATTTTAAAACTTCCGTAATTACTTCTGAGTTCCGTACCCATTTTATACCTGTTGGCCGTGGTGTTTTACAAGGTGACTGTCTTAGTCCTCTACTATTTAATATGTGTTTCAACACATATATTCAACATATCAAAGCTGAAAAGTACCGCCAGTTCGGTTTCTCCCTCCAACTCCTTAATCCAATCCACTGGTTTCAGTTTGCCGATGATGCTGCGGTTATTACTGGTCAGGAGTCGGAAAATCAACATCTCCTTAATCGATTCTCTATCTGGTGCCAATGGTCCAACATGGTTGTTAGAGTTGATAAATGTAGCACATTTGGCATCAAAAAAGTTTTATCAAAATCTGCCCAGTACCTGCCGAAGCTTTTGATCAATAAGGATCTCATACCAACGATTAAGACTGGAGAATCATTTGAGTATTTGGGACGACACTTCGACTTTAGCATGACTAATGAAAAACATAAATCTAAACTGATCTCCCTCATTGATGAACTAATGTCCGAAATAGATCTTAAACCTCTTCACCCAAAAAACAAAATTTTACTTTACAGTCGTTATGTTTTGTCGAAACTATATCCTGGCATTTTACTGTTGCTACGATATCTAAAACTTGGGTAGTCGAAAATATCGATTCTCCGGTGAACAAGTACGTCCGAAAATGGCTGGAAGTACCTATATCTGGAACATTAAGTAACATCTTTCTAACCCGTAATAAGTTTGGTCTAAATATCATCCCTGCATCCGTCAAGTTCATTCAGTGTCAAACAGTTCTACGCAATGCCCTAAAAACATCTTCAAACGATTCAATTAACGAACTGTGGAAGTCAACTAATAATCATACTAACATTCAATACGATAGCTACAATTCAACTAAAGAAGTTTTAAAAACTTTCCATTCTCAACAAGAAAATAAACTTAGGGACCGTTTGAAATGTCAAGGTTCCTTTTTCGAAAATGTTTCTAAATTCTCCCTATCACAACTTAACGCAATCTGGTCGGTATCGCAATCAAAGCTACCAAAGAACATTTTCAACTTTACAATTCGCTATATGAATAATACCCTTCCTATACCCGAAAGAACCTCAGTAGATGGGGAATTTCATCAAGTTCTGACTGCTCGTACTGCTTACACTCTGAATCACTTCTGCACGTTGTTGCCGGTTGTCAACATTACTTATAACGATTTACTTGGAGACACGATTGCATACTAAAGTTTCTTGCAAAAACCTTTCAAAGTTTAAACGAATGCAAATTACTTGTTGATCTTCCTGGATTTGAAAGCCCCTCGATTATTACGGGTGATGAATATCGTCCTGATTTACTTGTCTCCACTTCAGACAAACACCTCTACGTTGTTCAACTTACCGTAGGCTTTGAATCAAACCTCACAAACAATGTTAACCGCAAGAAAGCTAAATATAAGAACCTATTTAGAGAAGTAGATCAAAACTTTACATCTGTTAAATTTATAAATCTTTCAGTCAGTTCGCTAGGGGTGTTTGACAAAGAATGTCATACACTCGTAAAAATGCTAAATGAGTTAGGACTGGATAATCAACACCAAACAATATTGTATCAGAAAAATGATATCTATTGCCATCCGATCAACGTACTACATATTTTGCTGTAGAAATAAAGAATGGACAAATCCCGAACTAATGAACATTTAAAGTAACTATTTCTATAAATAATTAACAATTTTTGTATATAAAACTATAACCATGTATAAGTGATTCAAGTAGTCAATTGTAGGTTACCTCAAGAAGTGAGATTTACAATTGTATATATCTATAAATGTTCTATTAATAAAGTTTTCATTATTATTATTATTATTATTATTATTATTAAATATATATGATGAAGTTAAGTTTGTTAATGTATCTATATGCTCTTTAGGTGTATTTGGTGAATCGACGAATACTTTATTTGATATGCTCCATGATCTGAAGTACGACGAACAATGTATTAAATATGTAAAAAAGAAAATAATTGCTACTTGTATTCGCACGTCTTATTATATATTCTGTAGACGAAACAAAGACTGGAACAACCCAGAACTTTTAAACTTTTAACTAAATTTAAAAGATTTTCACCTGTATATATATTTTAGCTTTATATTCAATTCAAGTGGACATCGATAGGCTACCTTTTATTAAGTGAGGTTTATCAATGTATATACACGCCTGGCATTTTTGCACGCGAAACTGCACATTAAAATGTGTCATTTTTTTTCGTTGCCGCGCGACAATTTTGGGAGCTTGGTAGCGAATTTGATAATTGAAAAATTCCGCGAGCGCGTGCTTGTGCGCGTTTTCCTTGAGGGTTATTTAAGGTAAACAGGGAAA